ATGGCTATGTCCGCTATGTCCCTACTAAAATGGCTATGTCCCATCTAAAATCGCGAATCCGATATTTTCCTACTAAAATGACTATGTCCGCTATGTCCCTACTAAAATGGCTATGTCCCATCTAAAATCGCGAATCCGATATTTTCCTACTAAAATGGCTATGTCCGCTATGTCCCTACTAAAATGGCTATGTCCCATCTAAAATCGCGAATCCGATATTTTCCTACTAAAATGACTATGTCCGCTATGTCCCTACTAAAATGGCTATATCCCATCTAAAATTGCGACTCCGATATTTCCTACTAAATTGGCTATGTCCGCTATGTCCCTACTAAAATGGTTATGTCCCTACTAAAATGGCGATATCCCTACTAAAATGGCTATGTCCGCTATGTTCCTACTAAAATTGCTATGTCCCTACTAAAATGGCGATGTCCACTATGTCCCTACTAATATGGCTATGTCCGCTATGTCCCTACTAAAATGGCTATGTCCCATCTAAAATCGCGAATCCGATATTTTCGTACTAAAATGACTATGTCCGCTATGTCCCTACTAAAATGGCTATATCCCATCTAAAATTGCGACTCCGATATTTCCTACTAAAATGGCTATGTCCGCTATGTCCCCACTAAAATGTCTATGTCCCTACTAAAATGGCTATGTCCCTACTAAAATGGCGATATCCCTACTAAAATGGCTATGTCCGCTATGTTCCTACTAAAATTGCTATGTCCCTACTAAAATGGCAATGTCCACTATGTCCCTACTGATATGGCTATGTCCCTACTAAAATGGCTATGTCCCATCTAAAATCGCGAATCCGATATTTTCCTACTAAAATGACTATGTCCGCTATGTCCCTACTAAAATGGCTATGTCCCACTTGTACCGCGTGTACCACATGTCACACTTAATCCATGTGTACCACATGTCCCACCAAGTGTACCACTTACCCCCCGGGTACCACTTGTCCCACATGCCCCACTCGTACCGCATGTCCCACTTGTCGCTAATACCGCATGCATTTTGGTAAAAGGATCGATTGTTTTGCTATTATGGTTGGCACTGAAATAAAAATAAATTAGTTGTGCATTGGATTTACCTTTTTATCTATTTTTTTTTTATTTACTGTCGAAAGTTTCAGTGTTATCATTATACAAAGTTGTAAACGCGACGAGGATTGTGAAGGTAAATTATTTATGATGATAAATTGATTAATCCGAACGACTTTCATTGTACTAAAATAGATTTTACGCCGTGAGATTATAACGGTTATACCTTAAAAATAATCCGAGTGGCACCATTGCGATTGAACGGATCGGTGTTATAGATTTCTCTACTGGCGATAACGATTTAACAAGATTGCAAAGATATCTATCAAAATTAAATATAATTAGACAGTTTATCTAATGTGTCTATGTCCACATAATACAGCAATGTAGAAGCAATGTATTTAAAAGTCGTCACGCGAGTTACGTTAGACACAATTAGGTTAATTGAATATTATACGCCACTGAGGAGTCTCACTGAAAAAGTCGTTTTTTTAACGAGCGAATAATCACGGCGACTGTTTGATGAGAGAAACGAAATATATATCTGGTGAATGAAATGGATGATGAGCGGAATCATATGGACAACATATTCGGCGAATGCGATATACGTGGAAAATACTCCTGGACGAAATGCATATGAAGAATTGTTTTCTTCTGCTTTCCAAATTCATTTCGATACACTGTGATAATGGATCGATCTAACCTAACTTGCTCTATCTAACCACGCGCAATTTAAAATACAGCTATTGTCGTCTTTCTGGAATCTTGCACAGCACTGTGTATGACGAAAACTAAACACTAGATTTCATTTAATTGTGGTGGAAGTCACAATCCACAATCCCTGCGCTTGTTCGCAACAACACGTTTGCAAAAACTACAATAATTTGTTTAAAAAAGTGTTGCGGCGGAACATGTTATGACATGGGTTATTAGTGCCGGAATATAGCCGTGTCGATATCGGATCGGAACCGATATCGGCGATAAAAGCAGTATCGGTATATCTTTAATCGTTTTTTTTAATGTAAGTATCCCAATTAAAAAATTTGAATTAGGAAACATTTCTTATAAATATTTAATGTGGGACAGGTGTGACACGTGGGACAATTGTGACACGTGGGACAGGTGTGACACGTGGGACAATTGTGACACGTGGGACAAAGGAGAACGGTGGGGCAGGTGTTACACATGGGGCAAGTGGTCCACTTGTCCGTGGTACACTTGAGACAAGTGGGACACATGGTACAAGTTGTACATGTGGGTTAAGTGGGAAACGTGGTACAAGTGGGACACTTGGTACAAGTGGGACACGTGGTACGAGGGGTACACGTAGGACAAGTAGTACACGTGGGACCGCTATTTTAGTAGGGACATAGCCATTTTAGTAGAGACATAGCCATTTTAGTATTGACATAGCGGACATAGCCATTTTAGTAGGGACATCGCCATTTTAGTAGGGATATCGCCATTATAGTAGGGACATAGTCATTTTAGTAGGGAAATAGCCATTTTAGTATTGACATAGTGGACATAGCCATTTTAGTAGGGACATAGTGGACATCGCCATTTTAGTAGGGATATCGCCATTTCAGTAGGGACATAGCCATTTTAGTAGGGACATAGCCATTTTAGTAGGGACATAGTGGACAACGCCATTTTAGTAGGTATATCGCCATTTTAGTAGGAACATAGCCATTTTAGTAGGGACATAGCCATTTTAGTAGGGTCATAGTGGACATCGCCATTTTAGTAGGGATATCGCCATTATAGTAGGGACATAGCCATTTTAGTAGGGACATAGCCATTTTAGTAGGGACATAGTGGACATCGCCATTTTAGTAGGGACATAGTGGACATCGCCATTTTAGTAGGTATATCGTCATTTTAGTAGGAACATAGCCATTTTAGTAGGGACATAGCGGACATAGCCATTTTAGTAGGGACATAGTGGACATCGCCATTTTAGTAGGAACATATCGGGATTGTGATTTTAGAAGAGACATAGCCATTTTAGTAGGGACATAGCGGACATAGTCATTTTAGTAGGAAAATATCGGATTCGCGATTTTAGATGGGACATAGCCATTTTAGTAGGGACATAGTGGACATCGCCATTTTAGTAGGAACATAGCGGGCATAACCATTTTAGTGGGGATATCGCCATTTTAGTAGGGACATAGCCATTTTAGTAGGGACATAGCCATTTTAGTAGGGACATAGCGGACATAGTCATTTTAGTAGGAAATATCGGAGTCGCAATTTTGGATGGGACATAGCCATTTTAGTAGGGACATAGCGGACATAGCCATTTTAGTAGGGACATAGCGGACATATGGGACATAGCCATTTTATAACTACCCCCGTACCACTTCTTTTGGGCAAAACCTTCCGTCTTATATTCTGTACCGATAACCACTGTGAAGCTAGCAGCACTTTCAGCCAGAATATTTTTACACATTGAATATAGGTTCCACGCGCATATAGTGTTCACTTATAGGTAAATATGAAAATTGAAATGCTGATCAAAATATAATATTGGCACGAAAATAGATGTACACTAAATTTAACAAGAACATAGTGTTTAAAAAAAGACTTCTGACATATTGAAATCGAATCTTTGAGGTTTCTACTTTTCACCAATGGTGTTGTAATGCTGCCTTTATTGGAGGTTTTCATGAAACGACCATGTTACACGACGAAAATTCAGTCATTTTTAAACATCTCTCAAAGAATTATAAAAAAATTTTGTGCACTGTAACAGTCGCTTCAGCTTGTTTACTATATATTAACAATACGAGGAGTGTAATTAATGATTGTTTTGCTTTAATTGCTATTGTGAAACTAATCAAAGTATACACTTTCTTTTAAAAATCATTGGGAACATTTATTTTTACGCGTGGGTATTTTCTCCGATTCTGTCAGTCACAATTTCGTGTTTTGCTGCTAGCTTCACAGAGGTGTACGATACGGTACCGGTACTGTTAAACTTTATCCAAGGTTTTGATTGTTCTCCTGATTTCATAATCCTGTAATCAGTTTTTATCAATCATTTAATCGCCTTTTATGCTAATCATGGAGTCTGAATACGGTACCGGTACTGTACAGCTGTAACGGTACCGGTACGGTACTGAAATTAACTTATCTTATCGTTAATGCAGAAATGTGATAAGCTGTACCGGTACCGGTACCGTTAACATCTGAACAGGCACTATTATTATGTTTGTGTTTACTAGATTTCATGCCGTGCTGCTTTATATTATTTGCAGACAAATGTATTAAATTGTTTTCAAAAAAGTTTATACAGCTCTGCAGTTACAATTGAACCATGAACCTTACAACTTGCAGACTTGGAAATATAAGTTATTTGTTGAGAATCGAGAATCATCAAATATGAGTGAGTTAAAGCTTAACTTAAGTGTTCTATCTGTCTACAGGTCTATGATACGGTATGGTACCGGTACCTGCATTCTTTATTTTATGTGATTAATCAGTTTTCCAATGCCAAATTTTGACTAAAAGTACCGGTACCGGTAATTCCATGAAGTTTATTAATAGTACTGTACGGTACCGGTACATACTGACATACCGGTACCGGTACGGGTGAGTAATAAACAATAATTATTCATGCATGCCAACTCAGACACAATTTATTTTAAAAATAGATTTCCATGTAGTCTAATAATACTGATAACTTTTGTGTGAAGCGTCCTAGATACAATCATACTGTTGGGTGAGCGAACACGTACTACTTTTTTTATCAATACCTTTCCATCTAAAATCTGTACGTTTCAAACCTTACTCTGGGTTTTGTTCGCTTTCCCGATTCTATAATCAGTTACTTTTACTTTCGTTTTTATCTATTTTTTTATCGTCTATTGCTGATTATGGAGTCGAAATAAACTTATACTTATACTTATACTGTCATATGCAAACAGACATGCATAGGCTATCAACAAATTCATTTCGCGACTCGCTGTTGTTGGCATTTTTTTTTTCCAATTTGTAGCTAATGTTCTGGTACAATATAGAGAAATTGGTACTTCTGTACTTAAAAGTATTGTGGTCTTTGGATGGATTGCAATAAAGAGTGGCGATAATAGGGTAACTTACGTTACGTACCTGCGTACTGACGTAACTTGCAATCTGGCACGCCACCGCACCTCTGATTACCCTGCGTGGGTTCGAATTCCATGTGGGGTTTATTATATGCGAGAGGATTGCTGGACTCCTCGCTGCCGTAGGGTGGTTCCCGTATCCGCTGGGAGGTTATGGCTTCCTCCACCATCAAGTCCATGCATCTGAAAACAAATAATTGGCTAACTACTCCTATACCAGCATACCCTATATCAGAGTTTCCCAAACTTTTTGGGCCGCGGACCTCTGTTTGTGAATTTTATTTGTGACGGACCCCCATCCTATGCCGTATCAATTTCTTTGTCTAACTAACGAGAAAAGATGATGTTTCCTTTGACGAAATAAAACTCATGAAAGTCTGATTCAATACATATTGAAGTTATAATACTGGTAGACCAATGGCAATTCGATAAGATGCCCCTCCTTCCTTGCAGCAACGGTAACAGGCTCAAATGTCTTAGCAAAGTCGTACAAGTTATCGACTGGTGATAACTCAGTAACCCATTCAATCAATTATTACCAACGATGTAGCCCTGTGACGGAGCTCTACCTCATAGACGCCAAAAGTAAGAATCGTTCTACAACATCTTTTCACCCCCAACAATAACGATTTGTGATTGCATGAACTTATGACTTTATCTCCTTTACGAATGAAATGGTACAATCTATGTGTTTCATGACTCATCGTTCATATCGTTGCGGACACCCTGTGCAGTCATCACGGACCCCAGTTTGGGAAACCCTGCCCAATGTGGACTGGTAGCTGGACGAGAGGCCGTGGTTCGCCATATGAATAACCGGTCTCATCGACTTTCCTCTTCCCTGGGATAAATATGTAAATCCTGTCTTATATCTGTATATATGCTGATATCAGTCAGTGTCAGTAGCCTGGTGTGGAAGGTTTTTTTTGTAATGATCAATTGATAATTTCGATTTCAAAATAATATTAGCGGTTAAGATTTACATTTGATGCTAAATATCTTCTGTTAATCATGATACCACTGAGAACATTACTATAATTAACAACATCAGTGTTCTAAGTTTCGTAAAGATTAAAAACTGAATTTTATATTTCCATCCTTCCAAGACATTTGAAATAAGTCAAATACTGTATCAGATTGAATTGGTCATTAAATCAGCTTATATGTTTTAAAATTATAACAGCCTGAAAGTTCAATACAATCTTTGTATTTTGTCGTATTTTTTTGTTTATTTTGGGCCCAAGCGTGGTTTAACTAGATTTGAACTGGTTAGCGGGCACATGATATTTTCATGTTTTAAATTGTTTTAAAAGTTGTTCTGATGCTCCAGAATTCTCCGTTTTTAATTATGGAGTTTTCTATAGGCATTATCTATTTATTAATTTTCTACTATTTTTTTGTCTTGCCTGTACTGTACCCCTTTTGCCATTATATTATTAGTATTGGTGCATTAGGAGTGCACATTGATTTCAGGATTTATTTTCATATATTTTTAAATTTATCAGTTGACCAATCAGGGAAGTAAGGGACATTTTTGTTTTTTTCGCACAATTATCTGGCTGGAATTAATAGTGGCCGACTCTGATTACCTTAGTTTGGTCATTTCGCTGTAGGCTGTATCACCATCTCCCAGTCTGTATGGAAATACCGAAATAAGTGCAGTATCCTCCCAGTCTGTATGGAAATATCGAAATAAGTGTAGTATCATTTATTATGTAGACATGTAATTTTATTCCTGTATTTTGGTTGAGAAATACTGAAATATAAATTGCCAAACATGCTAAATGCTGTTATAAAGCTAATGTAACTTATCACCTTTTTCAGTTTTCACCCTTTTCGGTAATTACATAAAACTTAACAAAAACTCAGCCAATAGCAATTTCCGGATTCAAGGCAATATTCAAAAATGGCAGTGCAAGGTATTGATAATTTTGAAGAATCGGGAATATTTCATCAAAGTCTGTCAATATGGAAGGGAATTTGTCACAGTGCAGGTAAGCCAGTAGTTGTACAAGTGTAGACCCTGGATCCTGAGTGCCCCGATAAAGCAATATTCTGAATATCTGACACTTCAGCTTTCGGTCAAGTGTCTGAATGTACAGGTACTGATTGGGGTTCGATCTTTTGTAAAATTAAAGTGCAAATGACTTGCCTCAATATTCTGCACTACTAAAGGCAAAGAGAGGATTGTGGTCTTCAGACAATGTTGGGACATGGATTATTTCCTGGGAAAGTCAATATGGGGGATGCACTCATGTCTCGTCATTCTAAAATTCTTTTAATGTAATACATATTCATGATATATGGGTGTGAATCGTGTGATATATCTAAATGCCAGGTTATTTCGATTGCTTTTCTCCATTGCGGAGATGACGCCCCACTTCATATGTTTCTGATGCTATTTTTTCTAAAAAAAATAGGAGATGCAAATAGTAGAGGATACTTGTATAATGCATGCTCAGCCCATATTTCGGAACCTGATATATTGAACATTTTGCTGAATGAAAGTCACCTTTATATTTATTTGCAGATGGAACATTTGTTTATGAAGATGATAATTTTGATCCCATTTCTCTTGATCTCCACACGTCTGCTTCTATTGGTGAAACTGAATTAGTTCAAGATATATTAGACAGGTATGATATACTTCAATTCAGATATTTTCTATTCATTACCATGGCAATTATGGAAATATGGGCTCTCAAATCCTCCTATTTGTTGCAAATCGAGTTGAATCATTGGATTTTTGAATATTTTATTGAGTCGGTTTTGAAGATGTTCGTATAGCACAAGTTTTTTTAAATACTCAGGCAACAGGAAATATTCTCGACTCAAATTTACTGAATTATTTGTTATTAATGCTGTATAATCATCATGATGGCAATACTGTTAGTCTGTTAATTTGGTTATTTTTTCATAAAAATTCAACAAGTCATTGCTGCAAACCAACGCACGCACCCCTGCTGCCAACGACAAGCTTCATTTAACTACCAATTAGAAAGTTTTTATGATAGTGGGGTCAGTAGCAAAGGTTAAGTTTGAATTAAAATAATAGTTTTTTATGAAAACTTAATTAAAACTGGGAGGGAAATTAGATAATTTTAATCAACTTTCCAAGATTAGTGCTTTGCCGATAGCTACTGTAATAATATCATAATGTCTTCAAGAAAAGAGATGTATAGTTGGTAGCAAACAAGTAGAACAGCACAGTATGTGGTAAATGATGGACACATTATTGACTGTTGGATCTTGGAGATATAGATTTTGCATCCAGCTGAAATTGGAGTTTTATAATAGTTTACAGAGGTCTTGCTTTTTTAAAATAATGGTAAGGTACAAATTTTCAGGCAATCGTTGTTCGAGAAAGCTGTCTTTCAGGTTTAACATTTCTCATTTCGATAAATTTCCCATTGTAATATATTGAATAAATGAGTAATATAAGAAATAAGAATATGTTTTACCATTATCATATTATGACAGGAAACAGGTCAAAGTTAATGGATTGAATAGAGGAGGGTGGTCACCATTAATGTATGCCGCTTACATGGGACATCAAGAAACAATTAATCTTTTGGTTGAGACTGGGGCTGATATAAATCAAAGAACTCCACAGGGTTCAACATCATTAATATTGGCTGCTATGTGTGGTTACGATGCAGTGATGCCGTTTTTATTACAGGTATGCGTGTGAATATAATTAACTCTACTAAACTTAATCAGTCAATCGCTTTACTGAATCGACTTTATTGTTTGCCCAACTGTGATATGCTGTGTTTCATTTCACCATAATAAAAGGATGCTCTTTTTTCAATTAGTACATCTTACAAACAATTAACACTCAAATTTTCGCAGAATGGAGCAGATTTGGAAGCAAAAGATAATCGTGGTTGGACTGCCTTATTTCATGCTGCTAGTTCTGGTCATCAACAAACCACTGAATTTTTAATCAAAGCCGGTGCTAATTTAGAAGTTGTGTAAGTGATTTTGATTTGAGAATTGTGGTTATCAAAAGTTTTTATAACTGTTTGGTCATTTATATTGTAACCGATTTTTTATTTGTATATGACGGGTATTGTACAAATGTAATAAATGTTACTGTATATGTTACAGTGAGCCAAATCATCATTTGACACCGATTATGGAGGCAGCTGCATCGGGTCACGAAATGATTGTTCAACAACTTCTTCAGCAGGTAGTTGATGTGAAGTCTAACCTATTTATACATATACTATATATCCTAACAATTTTGAATCCATTGTTATATCACTGTCATACAGTAACATCATCGTTCGCATTTGTTAAACGGTCACAAGACGCAACCAAAAATGACTCTCAACTTCGGATTGGCAAAAACTTTTACTTCAGTTTTTGTCAAAAATTTTGAATTCGATTATCACCAATATAGGTCTGAAATTTAAATGCTTGAAATTTGAATATTCAACCTAACCTGCGCAGAAGCCTATTTTATTTTTTGAGTATGAGAATGTAAATTTTTTTGTATAAACTGGTCTAATTCAACAATTGGAAGTTGATAACAGACTCCTATTGAGAAGCTTTCGTTAATATGCTGAAGAATCATGTATCATCAAATGAATCCAATATTAAAGCCTTGTACTTAAAACTATAATCAAACATATATATTGTTCCCTTCATTTTATATGTATTTTTTTTTCTGAACTAGTTCCCTCATTGCAGGGCTTATCAATATGTCCGATTACCATCCAAGCGACCCACATCGTAAAATAATCTGCAATCTTTTAACAGGGTGTTGATGTGAACAGGGTAGATATTAATGGTGAAAATGCACAGACTTTGGCTTGTGAGTACGGTCATATTGAAGTTGCAAACCTCATTGAAAATTTTGAAGGATATCAGAAAAAATCAAAAGGTAGATTTTTTTTAATATATATTACGGTAACTACTTATTGAACTATTTATTCGTAACTCACAAGAAAGGTAACAACATTTTTCTACTGTTTTACTGTTTTCATTGATTAATTTTTAATCTCTTCTATTAATCTTTATAATCAATTTATTCAAATTCCTCTTATATCAGTATATGACTGTGCATCTACCATTATGCATGGATCAATCTGTATGACCATCATAATTATGTATAATTATTATCAGTTTAAGGGTCTCTCCTGAGTCCTGGCGCCGCTGTCACTTGGAAATGATCATTGTAGTATTAGTAATCTATCAACTTTTATGAAAGTGTTCGCAGTCTCGCTTTAATCAAAACTTGAATATAAATGAATATAATGAATATTAATACTGTGTAGAAGTAAATTAAATGTTTATGGGTATTTCCAAAATCGTATGCTCACATTCGGAGTGATGGACAAAAATCTGATAATAGGTCAAATTTCAGTCATCATAAAAGTATCCCTCTTACCAATTCTCGTAATGTAAAGGTATCATTTCTCAGACTCAAATTGTTTCCTATATTACGTTAACAAGCTTCCTGATAAGTCTACTTGTAATTCGGTCCTTATGCTAATGATATAACTTTATTTATATATGGTGATATTTTATGCTTCTGCTTAAAATCCAATTTGTATTCCAGCTGTGGTAAAAATTGTAAATGTATAAAAATGGCCCAGTGTCATGCCTTTGGGTTCATGAATGGCAAGGCCTCAAAATAAAGTAAATTCGTCATTGATTATATTTACCATAATTGACTTATTTCTTCTTTCTCCCCAAAACTTCTGACTTATGTAATTCTTTTCACAAACCTGTTTTCCTGATTCAAACATCTAAATGAAGTGCTGTATCCACCTGAATCTTTGTCTAAATAAATCCACACATAGCTTTAATAGAATGTTATGGGTAGGCTATATCTGTTTTCAGGCAAAAAAACTAATCGAAACAATTTGAACAACACAGCATATCAAAGACAATCAAATGCTAATAACAATAATTATAGTTCATCTGGACCTAGCATACACGATGGACCAAAAGCTTTTGCGCAGATGACTGGTTTAGGTGCCGATGGAAAACCAAAACCCAGTGGACAATTTCCCTTATGTGAGTAATTTTATTTGTTACATAGAATATTATATATTACATTTCCAATTCTAAATTTCATTGCTATATATCGGTGGCAACTTGCAATGAATGCTTTAAAAGTACTTAGTGACCACTTCGTTCATCGGCAAACATCAAATGTTTTGTGAGTAGACTTTGAAAGAGTGTATGTCTGTTGGATTGTCGGTCTGTGTTTGTAATACGGAGTTGTCTTAATAATAGTGAATATAACTGTACTGTGTAGCTTTATGAATCTGAAATTCTTCAGACTAGAGTGAACTGCACTTTGCCTAATTCGAATTTTTTTATCAGTTTTGCCAGAACCTTCGCCTCAACAACAACGAATACAGGAACCAAAATTTGAATCAAAGTGGACCGGTTGTAAGGTGTGTTGGAATATTAGATGCATGAATATTAGATCATTCATTTAATATAGTTTTGGAACATGGGAGACTTGAGTCATACAGTCTGATTCTACCACTTAACTATAATCGGACAGTCATCAGTGTGTTTTTGTTACTAATTTTTGAGTACTAGGGTTATTCCTAATTTAAGGATTTCTATGTATAATAGGCTACTACCTAATAAAAATATATTTTTGCATCTTTAATAAAATAATCGATTCAATTTATTCGATGTCCAAGTATTCTATGCAACATCTGCTTTTTCTAGGACCTTCCCTCATTTCTAGAAGAGATTGGATGCAGCAAACACTTGCCAATATTCAAAGAACAAGATATCGATTTGAGAATTTTTTTAACTTTAACAGAAGCTGAATTGAAAGAAATAGGAGTAAAGTATGTTGAATAGTTAAAAGGTTGCTAAACTATACAACATATGGCCAAATGTACTTGAAATATTTATGAAAAAGCAAACAAATCTATGTAACAAGGTCTTCTACATCTACTTTGGTGAAGAACTGATTGCCAGTTCCCAAACATGAAATATTTAATTACTGTCAAAAGTAGAGAGAATTTTCATGAATCTTGAATTAATTTCAGAGCTTATTAAACGTGTTCACCCACGGAATAAATATACTATATTTACTTTAATCTCATCTTCAGGTTATTCGGTCCTAGACGAAAAATGGTTGCGGCTATTGCACGAGTAAACAGTTCTATACAAGCAAGTTTAATAGATAGAACAGAAGTTGCATACTGTGATTCATTATTATTCAGAATAAAGGATATGGAAACCAAACTGAAAGAGGTGAATTGAGTAAAAAAGATTTTATCATACCATGCAGATACGCAATAGCAATAATATCGTCTTGACTTTGTTTGGTTTTGTTTTGTTTTTGGAAGAACATGATGTTCAACATCACCACGAGACCTTTTAAATTTATGCTTTTCATTTAGGTATACTGCAGTTAAGTCATATACGAAAATAATAAAAAAAACATCGATTGAGTATATGCTTGTAAATATGTAGCCACCGTGTTCCAGGATTTATAATCTTGTGATTGTATTTATAATGAAGAAGGCCATTGCCTCGTTTTGTTTGTTTCTGATTTGAATTACATATGTCTTGACATTCTTAACTGAGCCAGATTTCTTATATTGCTACCAAATCCGTTACTGGTAGTACATATGCCTCCTCCAGTATCATGTCATTCAATGTAATATTTTTGTATTTATGGCTAAAATGTGGAAAGTCGGCCACAATATAGTAGCTTACAGTCGTTGTTGACCAGTTTTTTTTATTTTAGTTTCTTTTTCTTGTTATTCAGTGTCAAGAAACAGTAACTGATCTGTCTGCACAACTTGCACAAGAAAGACAGTTAAGATCTGTTGCTGAAAGTGTTCTCATGGAACAAAAAGAATCGAAATCATCAATGCATAGATGCACTGACAAAATCATAGTTGAACACGGAAATCTCATAAGAATTGCTGATCAGATCAGGTAGTTAAGTTTTTGTATTCAGGTTAGATTAATGTCTTCGGACAAGTCATATTACTATCCACTTTTGATACAGATAAAAATTGGCAGCTTATTAATCCATTAAAGTGATCAGTGAGGTATTAATAAACTTACTATATTCTATATACTATATACTATTGAGTTAGTATTCTTTTGCTTGATATTCATAAGATTGAAACGACAAGATTTACTTTGATTTCTCATCAGAAATGTTTGATTTTGCCTGATTATCACTAGTCTACATGCCAGATGATCATAATGTAACTATGAACACAATTTCATGAATTTTAAAACTGATGTTTCTCCCTTGAAAGGACGCTACCGTTTGATTATCATTGAAGTTTGCCAGTGAAATTTTTTGATGTTCTGAGGTCAAAACAACAAAGCTTTTGCAGTTTTTCATTGAATGTTATCTCACTACCTGATACAAAAATGAACCTTGTTTTTTAGTATCTGTACTTTTATTTCTCACATGTTATTCCTCGCTGCTTATATGGGCCATTCCAAGCAAAAGTTGAATTCCATCAATTTTTTAAAAAGTGTAGTGAAAGTAATTTTTTTTTATTTTTGATATCAAAAGACATTGGAATTTTATCGGACTGCATTCATTTCATCGAACAATTTAAAATTTCACCCAGGTTTTTGATGGTTTATAAAAAATGGCCTGGAATGTAGAAATTTTGGTATAATTGACATATTTTGTGATGATTCCTGACACAAAGTGTTTGATTGTGTGGTACAGGTATTTCATATGGAATTGACGCACTGGATTTAAGTTAATGAAGTTTAAATGTTTGCAGTGCTGTAGGACATTTCTTCACCCATATAACGATTTATTACCAGAATTTTAAGAGATGATAGAGGGCGCTATTTCGAAGTGAAAGTGTTTGATTGTGTGGTACAGGTATTTCATATGGAATTGACGCACTGGATTTAAGTTAATGAAGTTTAAATGTTTGCAGTGCTGTAGGACATTTCTTCACCCATATAACGATTTATTACCAGAATTTTAAGAGATGATAGAGGGCGCTATTTCGAAGTGGAAAAATGTCCTGTAGTGTCACATACAATATGCACATTATTGGCATGGATTTACAGTGTTACATTAAGTAACTTGAGCAACACATAGAGGGGTAGTTCAGCTACTGTACCAGAAAATATTATGGGCTCCTACTGTACCATCGCAAAAATTTACAGCACAACACAACGTACTGTTAGTGCATGGTGGATTTGCCGTCCTGTAGTGTCACCCTATATTTTACTATATTTTTTTTATCTACTAAGTAAGTCTTGGGTGTAACTTTTCTGCAATTTTTTACATATTCAATAAAGCAACTGATTGGACAATGAAACAAAACATGTAGCTGAAAATGTGAAAATATATTGCATCCAACAACATGCAAAATTTCTGGAATTGTCCTATAGTGTCACTTGGAATAGCCCATATAGACATCAAAGAAATTAGTTTAGGTATTTTACTGTACACCAGGCATACCAAAAAATCGCATATGATGTTGTGGGAGTAAATTAGAAAAATAAATTTCTTTTATTATGTCAAATCGTAAATATTTTCAGATCTTATTATGCAAAAAGTAATCTGAGCAAAGGTAGACACCAGAGCAACACCAATACACAAATATCCAATTATAGGACGGTGAGAATCTTTATTTAATACCTCTTTCTGAAATAGCTTTTTTGGTTATATTTTTCATTGAATATTTTTGAAACTTTCCAGCTGTGTATATGATTCAATAGCATGTGAACTGATAAAGGCAGCTCGAAATATGAATGCGCAACGCAAAAATTTACAATGATTTGAAATGATGTGGCGTGACATTGGTTCATGGACGAGTATCTTCCATTAAGATAAGATAGGTTTTACACATTTATCCTGGGGGAGATGAAAGCCGGCGGCTTAATCATAGGTAGAACCTAGGTCTCTCGTCCGGTTACCAGTCTATGTAGAGTATGGAATTAGTTAGCTAGTCATTAGTTTCAGATGCATGGACTTAGATGGCGGAGGAAGATGGTGAACCAAATACACTTTTTAAAATACATTGTTACAGGTTGATCAGGAATATCCTAAACTTAGCCAAGAATTTGACATGGCTTTACATCATTCAAGAGCATGTTTATTGGAAATGCAGAGAGTTTTGCAAGTACATGGTTCAAATTCTATACCAACTGGTAAAGGGGACATTCAGTGGAAAGAGAGGGGTTGAACAAAATACCAGCTTTATGATATCTGAAGCTTACCTGATTTTATTGCAGTATTTTTGTACAAGTCAATAAAACATGACGCGATTCCTGGGCTAATGAAAAAACCCATAATCAGAGTTTATTGATTGTCGTTTTGTCATTCGAAGCCACTGATTTGAAAAATGAACCCGTATTTTTGATATGATTATGTTATATCACATTTGATGTTGAAATGTACTTCCAATTACCTCGTAAAGATTATTGTCAAAAATATTGCTTTGCTACCGAGTATGAATTTTGCAATATTTCTAATCGGGGTCGTGAGTGCTCAAAGCAAATTAGACCTTAGTTGGGTGATTCTTTTCTGTCGAAATCACTTTCAAGACTTTTTCGATTGCCAAATCACTATTGCTTTTCAAGAACGCTTTACTATTATTAGCAGTTTATTGCAAAAATAACTTGTTTTCGAGACTAGTATATCTTGTAAAAAAGTCTTTTTGAATCTTATTATCTCATTTTTTGAATAGGAGCAGAATTGTTTCCTCTAGCGTAAAACGTTATTACAGAGTTAGAAAGTGTGTGCTAAAATTTGTCTTGAATTTGTAGAATTTGTAGAATTATACTAATTATAATATTTTTATAAAGTGCGGACTACACACATGCCGTTAGCCACGGTTACCTAAGTCGTTGCTAGTTTCTGATAAACCTGTATTTTCTTTGCACACCCAACAATCACAATTACTGAAGTTTCATTTTTCTAGATTTTATGCTTGATAATTCTTGTTCTATTTCGTATGCACAAAATTAGGTATTGCATTTATTATTTCAGTATTTTATGTGTTTTTCATTTTTCTGGTATCTCGTGAACTGCCATGCTAGGTCGGATTTTTTTTCTATTAACCTTAATTTGCCCTATTGAAGAAACCAAATATCGTTTAGAATGGAAATTTCTGGTTCTTAATCATCACTGTCCCGACCTTGTACCATAAAGGATTATACGTGAACTTTTCTGCTTTCTGGGAGCAACGTATTGCTCGTACTGGTATTTACATGGAATGCTTTTAAATTTGTAGCAATTTTTGGGAAGCGAAAAATTTAGCCAAAATAGTTCTTTCTGGCGCGAATGCTCCATATTTTTCATTATTCCACCTATATTGTATTTTCATCTCAGTTATATTATTTATAATGTTGCATTTTTAATTTAGCATCTATGAAATGGACTTTCCTCAGATATATTTTCTTAACATTCTGGTAACTTATGGTCATTTCGATTTGCAAAAACCATAAGGTAAATTTTTGTACCTGTGGGTATTATAATTACTGCCTTCGTATAAGATGATACCAACGATTGTTTTAAGAATATCCACTGTACTTTCTATTTGCCTCGGTGATGTGAATTGGGATTTTGTCAGTTATAATTAAATCATCACATCCTGAAAATATCTCTCTTTTCGCTTGCGTTTTAGAGTATGTTGTCAATAAGCCAATATCCCCCCCCCCCCCCCCCCATTCATTTCTCTCGTCTGCTTTACGAGCCGAGAACCGCTCCGGCTGATGGCACATGTGCAGACTAGTTTCAAACACACCTGTTCGGAATATTGACACTTTTGTACTCCGCTGGTTTATTTTAAGTTATTTGCATAAGCGCGACTGTTTGACGAAATAGAATATTATTAGTTAGCCTGGAATACGCAGGTCTGCAGAAAATTTTGAGTGTTCAGCGGTGCAATATCAACAGAACATAACAATTTTCCAATTTTGTAGATAGAAAAGATCTCGTGTCAGCTTTCACAATGGTGGTAACAGCTCCTCCGCTGAGCCCCTATAGTTTGTACGTATATATTATTAGTTCGAAAAACAAGATATATGTAGGTAATTCGAGAGTGGCGGAAAATCACTGAAGTTAGGTAAACGTGGAAGAATTATTTGGGCGTTTTGATTCTGTACCTTCATAGGAATACCGTGCCATTATATTTCCCCAAAACCAGAAACGATTGTTACGTAAAATCATTTTTTTATTATATTGTCTTGGTCTTGGAAGGAATGCTATGTTATAGCGCAGGGGTTACCAAATTGCGGAACGTGGCAATTTTTTACGCGGCGCGCGGGAGCATTAGCAAATACTAAACAAGTCAAGTTGCCAAATTGTGTTGAATCACTTTAGGATTTACGGCTTTTTCATATGGCGAACAGCGACCTAGTTACCAGTTCAGGTTGTATGGCATTTGTTCGCCAGTTAATTTTTCAGATGCATGGACTTATTTATTTATGGTGGGGGAAGCGAACGGTTAGTTGTACCACCCTCCGACGGCGAGAAGTCCAGCTATCCTCCCATATTTATCCCACGCGGGATGAGAACGCAAGGTAATCAGAGGTGCTGTGGCAATAGTATTCCTAACGCTTAGCACTGAATCTAAACAAAGCTCGTGTGAGTTTCCATAACACGCTTATTGAAGGATCCCGTGTCCCCTGCAGTGCCTCAAATTTGCTGTTTCAACTTGCGCTTCTTTACTTGTAAGATTAACTCGGAAGAGCACGTCCTGCCGTATTACTACAAGCGACGCTTAGAATATGTACTGCTGCAATGTTTCATACCCACCAACCGCTATGTCATCGACAGATATTTTCACACATAGATGTTTGCACCCACAGTCATTTTTACTCCCAAAGATGTGTGTTTCTGGCAAAGTTTCATTTCTTTATTAATAAATGTATTTATCAAAACAGTTTGAAAATTGTAAGTGTAATCTTTCTTGCTTAGGGTCGCAACGTTTTTACGGTCGTTACAAGTTATGATCCTATCCCGCTTTTTCCATTGTCGGTCATTTTCCTACATAACGCTAATTTAGTACAATGAAGTAAGTTACTGAGGTCAGTTTACACGCTGTTAATTGCCGCGTATGATAGGTGGTCACAAATAAGTTTATCGCGTCAGCGGTAACAAATTACACAATGGAAGCGTGAAAAAAAAAACGATTTAGACTTGACGAAAGCTAGAATTATGTCGAGCAATTTGTTTATGACGCTTGTCTTTACTTTGTATATATATATATACTGTTACATTATAGTGGTGACTACCATTATATGGCTTTTTTCATCTGATTTCATTTCGCATGAACAAGATTGATGATGGAAATTAATCGTGTGCGAGTTTGTTTGCAATGTGTTCGCATTCGTTGCAAGTTATAACATTGGGATGTCCATGTCTGGCAAAATGCAATAAAACTTCGTTTACTTCAAAGACTGGTGAATATATATGGTCGTAGTGTTCGCTGTGCAAATATCTTTGCGGTACAAATATACACCGGCGCAAATGTACGGAAGTGCAATTGTCCAAGGGTGCAATAGTATGCAGGTGCAAATACCTTGGGTTCGGTTTACGAGTGCAAAGATAATGTTCTCCTGAAGTAATTCGTGGATTTCTGCATTAGTGACACGTCGAAAACTTTCCTTTTGAAAACTTGATTGCGCTTCGCTGAAACTTTTACAGTCGCATCCGGTATTTAATAAAACTTGATTCTGACGTTCAGTCTCGAATATAGCATCTCGTTCTGAATCTTGTCCATGCACATTTTTTTCACTTGTCTCAGTTTTACAGTCATGCCGTCCGAATGATTTTTCATATTCTACTATCTTTTTGGTACAGTTTTGCCATTAGTTAACTTTTCCATTCACATGTGATCTTTTTGTCTTCCCAAGTAGGCGACAGTACAAAAAATAGATATATATATATATTGTCGGTTGACACAGAATATATCAGACTTGGGCGCGAAATACTTCATCCTTGTTTAGCTTTCGATTGCACAATTGCAATGCACTTTGTAGAAAAGCGTAATACCCTTGTTTCTCGGAAAATTGTTAAAGATAATTTCAGGTGAACTCCTTGTTAGAAAAATAATTAATGCAAGATCTTTCCATTTTATCTGACCGCATAGCAGGATCGACAACATATCATTGTAAAAACTTATATATTTCGCCCTTCTGTTGAATATCTGAGGTCTCCTTTTCTTTTCTCAGTAAGATACATATTTTCTACCGACGTTATTTGACCTTTTTGCTAATTTTCTATCCATAACACATTTAAGCCTAAATTTAAACCATAAACAGATTTTTCAAAAATGAACAGAATAAAAAGCACAATGAACACGCTCACTTGGTTGCCTAAATATATATATATATAGCAATCTGAATAATTTGATTTTCTGCGTTCTATTTTGGCTCCATTATGTTTTTCAATCATTATTAACGACTTTCCGAATTCTCTTCTTCACTCTGATATCATACTTTTTGCTGATGACTCAACGCCATATCTTCGAGGCAAAAACTTGCCTGAACTTTTGACCAAAGCAAATACCGACTTAGAAAATATTCAAGCTTGGTTGTCTGCGAACAAACTCACTATTAATGTCGATAAAACTAAATATATGATATTTAGCACGCCGAAGCAAAAGTGTCCAACTCTGCAACAAAATTTGGAATTAAATGGAATCAATATAGAAAGAGTTAATCAGACTCGTTTTCTGGGTGTAATGATCGATGATAAATTGTCTTGGAAACAACACACCAATATGGTTCTATCGAAAACAAGGTCGTCTCTTAGTGCCATTACGAAAATAGCCAACAACTTAAATACATCTTGTTTAATATCTCTATACCACTCTCTGATAGAAAGCCATATTCGTTATTGTGCCTCAGTTCTATTGTATGTTCATCGCCAATCTTCCATTCTCAAAAAAATTCAAAGTGTTTGCAATCGCTTTATTAGAAGAGTTTTTCATAGAGGTAATCGCGAAATAATTGATGACTTATTTAAAGAGCATAGGCTACAACGAGTTGTGGATTTAGCTAAATTCGAACTATGTACTATGATGATCTCTTGTCACATTGGAGATCTTCCGTCCAGCCTGTTCCAAGCAAACCCAAATTCAAACAGCAGAAATAAAGATAATTTTTTTATTCCATTCGTCAGTAAAAGTATTTCACAAGAATCAATCGCAGTATGTGGACCAAAAGCTTGGAATTCCCTACCCGATGACATCAAAAATTCAAAATCGAACTCAGAATTTTGTTCCAAACTTAAACAATATATATTATCTTTAAGGTCAATTCATACTTACTCTTTTATATTGCTTTTACGAGACGAATAAACATACATACATACATTCCGATATCACGCATCTCGTTAGAAACAAGAGAGCTACGCCCAAATATATGGACACGTCTGTTCGCAGTACAGTACGGTTTACCGTACCGTCAGATCACAGCCTACAAATATATTCACACCAAGCGAAGCAGTACAGTAGGACACAAAATGGCGTCCGATGTTCGCAGAACGTTTAATGACGTCATAGCAAACAAAAACAAATCTCACAGAGCTAACAGAAATATCTAAAATGAATAAAAGTAATAGCCTTCTGGGGAAAAATTTTATCTTCAACCACTGAAAATTTCAAAGCAATTGGTCCAGTATTCGAAGAGAAAAGCGATTTTTTTTAAGAATGATGGAGACAAATAACAATAATAACAAAATTTTGAAACGATCGTTATGTCCACTACGTGTCCAATAAGGTAGAGTACATGTATGAGCATGTGATGAGATATTTGGCAAAAATAGAAAGAGCCTATTATGAGCTAGATTGCGTGTTCAGAAACTACCAATTAAAAATCATAACAACAACAGTTTCATGAAGCCCATTTTCACACCAAAAATGAGTTTTAGCGATTAATCGTGCGATTATCACGATGGTTATCAATAATCGCACATCTTCACGATAACGAGGATTCATAATTATTAGGAACAGTTTCAAACATGTCGTTGCAACTCAGATTCTTTTCTAGACTGCTAGAAATTGCTACTAAAGAAAAACGCGGTGATCAGTCATATCCTGATCAAAATCGGTCTATTTTTCTTTTGCCAATCAGAAGCAAAGTATTTGAATCACTAATCAACACAGTCATTACTGTCCATCTAGAATCGCGGTCTTTTAGTGACAAACAAAAAACTATTCTGCCGCCGATTTGTTAACAGTTGTAACTGAACGAATATACGGCGCATTGTATCGAAGTGATAAGGTTAAATCTATGGCCTTGAATATTTTAAAAGCCTTTGATAGAGTTTTGCACGCCGACCAGAACTATATGTCTGATTGTGCGCGTGTATTTCTTGGATAGCTTTAGCAGCGAAGAAAGTCCGTGGAGAGCTTCTTTAGGATATCAGTGGTGCCTATGTATCTGGCCGTAGAAAAATAAATTTGGCTCGGCTACGCTCTGATCTCTCTGGAATCAAAAATGTCTAATCAATCAATCGTTATATAATCCTGGCACAGCTACAGTTCTGATGTCTGAGGAAATCCCAGACGGAGCATCTAAACTCCATCTGGTTGGGCTCACCATCTGTAATGATTTGAGTTGGAATGAATAAACACGGGTAGAAACGCGTCGATAAAAGTTGAATTTTGTTGACATCTATCCCGTGAGTGTACATTTATTGTACAAAGCACTAAAACGTCCATGGATGGAGGTATTACTGTCAAATTCGTAAAACATCAAAATTTAGTTTTTAGTTTGGTTGTGGCAGCATCAGGCGGGCCAGATTGAATTACCTAACGGGCCAGACTTGACCCGCCGCAGGCCGTAGTTTGCCAATGTCAGGGACTATAACAGTGGTCCCCGAACTTTTTTCCGCGACTTCAATTCACGTAAAATCTAAAATTACAGATATTCGCGACCCTACAACAGGAAAAGTTGAGCAGATCAAAATTAAATGAATTCTATTAAATTATCTTAATGAGAAAATGTGCCTGCGTATCATCTGTAAGTTTTCGAAACTATGCTTGAAACCTTTCCATAAGAGGCAATATAAAAAGAATAGCCAATGGATTTATTTATCCACAGTGTAGTAATTATCTTCATTTATCTTTACTGGCGCTGATGACGCTTCAATTTACGTTGAAAACGTTCTGTCGGTTTATCCTACTATAGCGTAGTGTTATTTTTTCATTGATTCTTTGGAATGAAATAATGAATATTCTCGTAGACAATACACTTTGGCTTAACATATACTTCGACGAATCCAATTCAAATGCATCTGGGCCAATATTGGTCACCTGATCAGGATTGTCCATGGTGCGTTAATTTATTCACAATCCCCACCTACATCATTCTAAAATCGAAGAATTAACATGAGTCACTGCATCTTCCTAATGCAAAGTTTTATTCAGCCTCGTGGCTCACCAAACCCAGCCAAGCCCACGAACATGGTATGATTGAACGATACGTTACTTTTAAGTCCAATTTCCCTGCGTTTAAGACATCTCAGGAAATCGAACCAATCGAATCGATTACGATGGTCTACTCTAGAATACAAGTACTCACGTCCAGAAGGTTGTCAAATTCGTATGTAATATACTCAAAACACTATAAGCAGGGAAATATCATTGACGTTCGCAACATTATCACTCAATAGGGTTCACTACAACCCGACCAGCACAAATTTCACTTTCAAATTATGTGACCCATATGCAACCCCGGAAAATCTTCTCACAACCCACAGTTTGTTAACCAGTTGTCTATAAAACATCACTACTATAACACTCTATTTTTATTACAAAAATAAAGTTTGCAGTATATATAATATATTTTTTTTTATATGTAAATAAAAATTAAGTGTCTGAATCAAGGAATCTGCTTGCGGGCGCAAAGTTGCTGCCAGCGAAGGCTCACAATGAAATGCTATCCATGCAATTCCTTGCCGGATGCTACGACCAATACCACCCTGCCGCTTAACAAGCACCAGAGAACCGCCACATCGAAAAGTCAAGAAGGTTTTGGTTGAGACATTCGGCTACTTGGCTGAAGCCTTTTCCAACATGCCGAAAAAGATAGCACTCCAGGTAATCCATACTAAATTCGTGTCAGACTACCTTCGCCACCAAAAACAAAACCTGGTCCTGGAAGGCTATCCACCACCGATCATCAAATCCGAAAATTCCCTGCACAGAATTACACGCTGCACGCTCTCTCAGCTACGCTCTTGGTGGAGTCGCCAATCAAACCACTACATGACGCGCATTGATCCAGCAATAAGGGATATCTGCCTTGAATGCGGAACCGGCCCGCATGACGTCCCACATCTATTTATATGTTCAGCCAAACCAATACACTTAAATCACAAGGGACCTATGGGAAAACACGGTCGAAGCCGCTGTGTTCCTGGGTTTTCAAACACAGAGAGACGAAGGGTGTTAACAACAACAACCCATGAATCGTTTTGTCATTTTGTATTTATTTTTCTTGTTGTGAAAAAATCGCTATTCTCCTTAACTACAGGACCAATTGCTTAGAAATTTTCAGTGGTTAAAGATTGCATTTGTCGCTAAAAGGCTATTATTTTTATTACTCTATTACTTTCATTATATCGTATTATTTTCCATATATTTAAGCATTGCTCTCTCATTTTTACAGATATTATAATGTATTGTGTTCTCCTAAACTTTCGGAACTTGTCCCTACAAAAAGGTTTTAGTCGTCGAACTCTGTTGGCTGTGAATTGCCATTCGTTCACAGTCAGTCTACATACAAAAAATTTAATGCCCAAAGTTTTCCAAGAAATTTAGTTATGTAGAATTGTAACTTTGTTCAGAGACCAATCTCGTGACCTCGCTCTGAGCAAATAAAAAGAAGGATTTTCTGGAAATCGTTTGGCGGAAAATAATACTGATGAATAGGCTCGAAAACAAACGGACATTGACTACTTTCGGTATCGAAACCACAATATACCAATATATGGTGTTCAAGTTACATCGACAACTGTGCACTTTTTAACATCAACATTTATATTATGTTTATTTCGTTGATAAAAATTAAGGTAACATAAGCACACAAAGGCAAATCTCAAAACAAGGCTAATGATTCATCGCGAGGCTGCGCTACGATAGAATACGCCCATGGTTCAATTTACAATTGTTAATTGCCCATCCCTAGATTGAGATTAAGACGTTCTGGTCATATTAAAAGCATTTAATTATGTTGTCGTTGACCAAGCACGCTCGATAATTTAGTAGAAAATGGGTGTATGAACAGTATGCAATAACTAAATCGTGCGAGTATTTTGACCGAAGGATGAATATGAATAAATATTCTGGTTTATATTATGGCATCATTTTAAACGGAATTCTGAGTACCCCACTGCTTTGGGCTTGCGTCAACGTGATTTTCAACTTACGGGTACTTTGGAAAGCAGAACTACTGTTTTCTACATTTCTCGTCGCTATCGAATGGTTCTCGCGGGCTATAGATTTTTATTTACGTCAGAAAAACATGTTGGCGTGCCATAAATTTTGCTTTCGAAGAAATAGCTTTTCTGAGTACCGGGCCAATTTAGGTGGTCATAAAAAGATGGTTTACTATTTTGACAAACTTTTCTCTAAAATTGAATTATAATAGTAGTAATGATCAAGGAAAAATGAACCAAACAGTCATGGGAAAACAAAACCGAATTGAATTTTCGTAAGTTGTAAACGCATAATACGGAATACGTAGTTCCCGGAGATGTGTGAACAAATCGTTCCAGCAATATGATGCAGTGTGTGGTCGACAATCACATTGAGTGTAATGGAGCAACGAAATGTGTCATACTTTATTACATTACAATGTGTGGAATCGAATATTTTCATAGTAAATATTGCGTATGCAACAAACGCCACTGATGACCAAAAATACTAGAAGGCTACGAAAGATTATAAATTGGCTACTATTGCTCGATGGGATCTGCTGCTGAATCGAAGGCGTAGAATTGGTTCGTAAAGATGGATCCGATTAACTTATGAAGTCATATTAGCAGAATTCTATGACTCCATGATCACATGGGCTGTTTTGGATATGACTGTACATATAGGGTACGAATTTTGTGTTTTATGGTAAAAAGTTGCCGAAAGTATAGCAACTGTCCAGGTGAAATTGTCAATCTGAGCGCTGTTAAAATCAATGACCCTTAATTATAACAAGCTCTTTCACACCTTCGCCGTAAAGATCACAAGAAAGTGTATGCTACGATTGAGCTTTTATTTCAGAAACATATAATATGAATAAAAGGACAGACTGAAAATTTACCGAGCTAATTGTTGTTTATTTGTGCTTTCAACAAACAGACAAAAACTATACCACAACTGCTGACGATAAAGTCATATTAACGTTTCTAAGCTACGTTAAACCGCCACAAGAAAAGTCGAGATAAATTGTATACGTTCCGTGATGTTCATTCCTATAGTGTGTGTAAAGACCAATATCGTATGTAGTAGAATAATGTAACAGAAAATGTTTCATGAATCTTGGACAGCTACCTTCTTGCATCCAAACGACACAATCACGGTAAACTAAATATTGCATGAATTACATATCTTGGATTACATACGCTTTACATCAGACTATATTATAGAGAAGAAATAAAGAAAACACGAAAATGTAGTGTTTATATAGTATGAGAAAACATCGTCCGATTTGTCCTGATATAACATCACGATCACATAATGCATAAATCTAGTGATTTGTCATTATATATATTTTACAGTAGTTCGTTCTAATACATTTCACACGTTGTCAAAGTATAATGGTCGGCGGAATGAACAAATTGTTTCAGAAAGAAGCAAAATCATATTGTGTGTACATAACTTTGGAAAAAGACAGCATAAATAAGTGTTTTCGAGGAATCGCATTTCATTATCAAACATTGCAGCATTTTTTAAATACAAGTTTGGCAAATATTGATTTTGTTTAGTAGTAGTTACATAATGTAGTAGTTTTCATCATTGCTCGATTCATTACAAAGTTCTGAATTTGTGTATGGACAAGTTCACAAGAGACGTTATAAAAACGTCATGCGGAAATGTGCATGACAAAAATCATTAATTGTTGGTGAACATATTTCAATTTGACCTGGAGGCAATATCGAAATGCATTCTTTGGTGAACCAAGCGACTCTGAATTCAGATTTATAGATGACGCCATATTTCGTGTAAACAACATAAAAGATAACTGCTCTTTATAAGAGTTTATTTATTAAGTAAATGTAGTTTACTATAACAAAATCGAATTTTTGAGAAATTTTCAAAAATTGATAAGTAAATTTGTAGGTATGCTTTTCGTTCATTGGTTAGAACTTGTATATCTTTAAATTAATTTTTGACTGTGCGACATAAATTAATGCAATCTCATTATAAAAATGTCATGCCTAGCAGATACCGTTGTTTGTGAACTGAATGACCTCGGATATTATTCCAGGAATAATTTTAAATCGATGATCTCAGCGACATCAGAGATTAACATCTGGTGATACATCGTATCTTCATGCGACAACTCGACATGCTTGTCCACAAGAATTGCATTGGGCGTAATATCCGACATTTACGGCTTTCCGTAATGCCATGAGCCTGCATAATATCGCTCGCGGGAGTTATATTCAAATTCCAACTTTACATAATCGAAAAATCTCCACCAATAGAAAAAAACAAACAGCGGCAGGATGAAATGCTATGTTTGTTGTAATACAAGAGTGAAAAAATGTACGTTACAAGCAATTATGTAGTATTTAGGGACATTTAAGAAAAGTAGTGCATTTAAGCTGTGCGCTCAGTGATTTCTTATTCTGCAAGAATAATAACTTGTGCGTTTTTGAACATTCGACGTTTGATTACTTTCATATACTTACCAAAAATTATGTACATATATAGACACGCCCAAAACTTACTTATATCTAGCGTCGGCGATTGGAGAGCATACGCTAGAATTATCATTTCCGATTGTATTTATGGCCAACATATGATAAGTTTGTAAAAATATTTTACTAGCACAATTTTATACGATTTCGGGTAGGGTACGTTACATTGGTCAGTACTGTGTTGCTACTTGTTGTGCAAACGTTGCTACGTATCGTGAAAATTAGGAAAATAAAATAAATATCAGAAAATAGGTATAACTACCTCAAGAACGTTGAGAAATAATAAACAGTAGGAAATCAATAAGGCACACATAGTTATGAAACAAAAATAATGGCACAAAACTGGAAACTAATAAAACAGATATAAGAAGTATTTCGATTCTATGATGTACTGAACACCGTACAAATTTGACTAGTTTTCCATCGACTTTAAAAATAGTGACCAAGTAGAATCCAATATTTTAAAATATCATTCCCAAACAAACCAAAATAAAATATTAGTATGCCGGTGTGCACATAAATAAATTAACAATTTCATGGAATGATATAGACAGGTACCAGACCTACAAAAGGTGCAAAGCATGTATCGTTATATAAATATATATACAAGGCGGATGACACGAATAAGGCAATAACAATATAAGCGGAACAGCGGTTGAACGAAAACAGTGTAAACCCGCATATTTGTTTTAATTAAACAAAGAAGTACTGTTGTGCTCTTACTAAAATAAGTTGTTTTTAGTGGCAAAAATTCAGTAGGTATGCATGAAATTTTAAACAAATAAAATTGTATTAGCTTGTAGGTTATTTTTAAATAATTAGTGTTCATTAGTATGAGCAAGCATTATGTATCGGAAATATTGTTCACGAGGAATGACGTAATAAATAAACTTATTCACAGTTATGAATTGTATATCAGGTTAGTTTAAACAGTTAAAATTCGGCATGAAAACAACGTAGGAATGTGGAAAGATACAACATTTTAAAGGATCCAAAACCAAGCGATCCAACCTATTTTCCGCAAATCTAAAATCACTTCATTATTATTGTTTAAAGAAAATTTGTGCCCTCAGAAATTGAATAAAAAATCTTAATTGAATGTTTATCGGGACTGTATTTATCAGTTTGTATTTGTCAGTTGGCAAAAAAATCCAGGGTTAATTTTTGCACATTTCTTACTCAATGTGACAACATTGACTCAGTACCTTTACAAAATAAGCACAGACAACAAAATAGAAAAAGAAAAAAAAATGTAAAAAAGACAGTTATATAGGCACTAACTAAGTACATTGGTAGGTATATACAAGGCACTGTAGAAACAAAAGGCCGTATCAAAAATTAATAATTCCCCTAGATGTGCATGGTCAACATGTATCCTATTAGGAGTACATATGCGGACAACTAGTATTGACAAATATAGGCACTTAGTATAAGAGTACAACAATATTTTGTTGCTTGAATTGATCACCAAAATTTTATCGATAAATACTATACATTTGATATGATTTTGTACGAAACGATTAATTGGTGCAAAGGCATATAATGTGAATTTCTTGTTTTGTTTGGCAAAGAGCAGTTTGTTTTGAAAATAAACAATTAGTACAGTGGCCCTCTTCAAATTTTCATTTGAAATCATCTTCTCTTAATACTCGGTCGTTAAAAGTTAGCCCAGTTTAGTTATAATATGACGCAGTTCCCGTTTAGTTATCAACGATTGACGTTATAGTTCTCAAGCTGAGGCGTTTACAATGAATGACATCGGTTGCTCAGTATTACTATTACTAGGTGCTGTGTTTGCGCTGCTGCTGCTCCTGTGCATTTCATCATCCATCACATCATTTGCGTCATCATCATTGCCACTATCTCTTACGTGATCTCTGTCGTCCATGTCTCTCTCGGATGATGAAGATTCAGCGTGTTCTTGTGATGGTGACTTATTTCCATCTCCTTCTTCGGGCAAGCAATCGTTTCCTTGGTCGTTCTTAGTAGACTCTCTGTCTTCATCAGTGAATAATTCTGATTCATGCGAACAGTCTTCATTTTCTTTTTTCGTCATATCGGATACAAACTCCTCACCGGGCAATTTTTCTGAACAAATCATAAATATTTGAAAACTGTCATATTGCCCAGCTCACCAAATCACATTCAAGTTGTCATGATATGTGAGGAATTCACATTGACCCGGTGAAAAAAAAGCAAATGCAGAGGAAAAGTGCATAACTTAGTGAACATATATTTCTAGGCCTGCAGTGAATTCGGAGGTCGAAAATTTAACTTAGCAGTCAGTAAAAGTCATTTAAAAAAAGGGAATTAAATGACACTTACCACTATTTTCAAATTCTGTATTTTTATCTGTCTGAGCTTTTGTTGATAAATCTTCGGGCGAATCCGACAGTTCGCTAATTCGGGGTGATCCCAGGCTACTTCCCACACTTCCATTTGCTTCACCTCGCGCAATCATTGCACCTCCTAGTGCAGCAGTTAAAAGAGTAGCCCGTTCTCCGAGAAGCCCGCGTTGGATATCCATCATAGTAGCGGCATCATATGATGGATATTTTATCCCAGCCTGTCCTAAAGTTCCCGAAGCGGCTCCTAACATTGAAAGAGGTGAGCTTAAATCTTCGGGTTCCGAGTTGCCCTGAGATGGAGATTGTGATCCAAGTGGGGGAGTGCCTGAAATAATATTTTTAAATGTGTTTGGCAAGTCTTTAGTTGCTTAAAGCCAATACTCTAGCAAATGTTGATTTTACTGTTCTCAAAAAACTACAACATGTTAAAACTTAGAGCTTATTCCAAATTGGTTGATGAGTCATTTCAACTAAGCTTTCTTGCGGCCAGTGACATTTGTGTACTGACCTCGTGATTTGTATAAAATGAGGGTAAACTATAACAAATTATGATTTGAGTTACATGATGAATGATCCAAACTAAGAATGACTATAATAAAGCTAATAATATAACAAATTAAAAACTTTCGTTATATTTACCTGCAACGTGAGAATGCATAGTGAGTCGAAGATGTGCTCGAAATTCTCCAAGACTCGTGAAAGATGCGTCGCAAGTTCCGCAACGGAAGTTACGTATCCCCACATGCTGTAAAAAGGGACATTGGAAGACATTGTTTACATAAGGTAGCATAATATTCTTAGAGAAACGGTAAAAATTCGTATTGTCCATTTTTATATGCGACGTTGATAATAAGCAATTCTACATACAATAATTTAGCCCGCATTAAAAAAGAGCTGTTGAATGACTAATATGAAAAATAAATGTTCTGTACAAATGGCAGACATTCAAGTTCAAACAGTCCTAATAATTTCTTATTAAACAACTCGACAATGTGGGATATTTCGATACGTAAATAGAAATGGAAAGAAATAGTGAGCAAACTTACCAAATGTATAAGAAGAAGAAAGAGAGAGAGGATGAAGGGAACTGTACACATAAAACAAGAGAATGGAGATAAGATTGTTGAGTAAAAGTTGCGAGTTCCGCCGTCGAGACGGTTCTTAGCAAACAAATTTTACTTGCATTCCCTAATTAAAAATTCGTTTAGCAGGCGCTGCCTTTAATCATTGATGATAAGCTTTTTGAGACGTGTTGGATTTCCGAAAAGTTTGTCACCGCCCTTTGATGCATTTAAGATGAAACAATTACCAAAGGAGTAGAAAATGTAGGAAGTTTGGCAAGGCTGCTAGAAATAACGTCCATTCTCATTGATTGACCTGACTAGCATTATGCATTTGTATATTCTAGTTAATAATTTATCTCTGGATCATGTCGATTGAAGCATGATTTTACGATGTCATCGCTCTCATCATCGATCTGACTTTGAGTAATCTTCGGCAAACCAACTTTTTCTGCTTTATTGATACTCAATTATTAATTTTCTATTTTCCTATGCGGCAGATCATTTTTACTAATTCAGGATCAAACAAGCAAAGCGTTGAACAATGCGATATCACCGATTCACATATTAAAATATCTTAGTGATTCAGAAATACAAAAATAGCAAGTCGATGACTTTGCAATTATGAGCTTCACGTTGTTGGCTGTTTATAGCATTATATTGAACTCACGTTTCTTGACACAATATCTTAATATTATAGCGTTCTTTCAAAAAATACGTGCGTGTATGATGATAATATACGGAATATCTGGGTATGAAATCGAGTGCATGTGTTCTTTATCGCGATACAGTATATTGTCGGCGCCAATGTAAAATCGTGATTTCATTTCCAGGTGAGATTTTAATTCATTGCATTTATTTTCAGAAAACTGTTATACTTTTCTTAGTTTAAATATTATTGTCCTAAAAATGGGGAGCCAAAATAGATTCATTGTGCAGCGATTTCAATACACCTAATAATATCCATTAATTCGCAACAGATTATCCGCCATCACGAGATGGTCAATGTACCCAAAGAAAGAATTCCCCATGATCATGTTTGCTGGAGCAAATAAAGAAGAAAGTGATAAAAAGAATTCCCCATATAAGCTTCCACTAATTAATAGGTTATCCACAGCTACTTCAGGAAATTATACGCAATTTATTTGGAAAACGAAACAATCGCGCATAAAGTTATCTCAATTGTGGCATGCCAATAGCTCCTTATATCCGTTTACTATCCAAAATCCAAATGGGAGGAGGCATACCAACCTTCATTTTGTGAAGTCTCAATGTGTAATTCCTGGTAAAACGTTTTCCGCATTCATCGCATTCGTACGGTTTAATTCCAGAATGAAGTTTGATGTGTTGCTTCAAGTTGTGAAATCTAAGTAAGTAAGTTTAAATAAGTCATCGTCAAATGCAGGAGATGTAACTTAAGCTATAGCATTGTCCAATCAATTCAGAATAATATATTATTGGAGCCGATTCATGATGCACTTCTTATCATTGATTAACCGCTGATGAGTATTGTTATCGTAATGCATGAAACATGTATTTTAGAGGTAATAATTTCATTGGGCTGCGACATATTAGAAATGCGTCGAAATATCGGCTAACGCTGTCCGTCATTTTGATGATATCCGTGAAGATCTGGCAAATCGGTAGTCAATATAACTGACTTTACGAAGTACGAGTAGGGAAAAAATCAGGGGAAACGCACCAGGAACACGGATAAAGTGAATTTTAGGAATTCAATCCGGACCACAGTCAGAAGAATGGTAACAAAAAACATGTTTTGATTACAAAGAGATTGAATCATAATGTCTCTTTTGTTTCATATTTGAACAATTTACTGAATATGAAATGTATTTGATCTCAAACTAACCTTGTAAATCGAGATCCACATATTTGACATTGATGAGGTTTGGGCACAGTAGATTGTAGTGTCCTTCGGCGTACGCTCATGTATTGGCCGGTAGGTGGCTGTAAATGACAAATATTAGCATTTAACAAAATGTAATCATCGTAACGTACGAGTATTCCACAACTGAAATTGAAAATTCCTTAGAATGGTAATATTACTCACCACAGCCGGCAATGTTACAATTTTGCCAGCGTCTGATCCATTTTGTTGTGCTGCCATTAATTGTTGTTGTTGAAGCAATGCGCTGCGCATGGCACCGTTTATCGCGGCAGCGGTTGCAGAATGAACATTTGGTGAGGTTCGAACTCTGTTTATAACGTCTACAGGGGATTTGGAGATGCCTATGAAAAGAATAAATTATTTAAGATAAAATAATAAAGAATGTTAGCCAATGTTATCCATCATACGAGTCATTATTTTGATCCATATTGATGTCATTCCACCAATCAAATTTTGCTCCATTTTTCAGTTCTGTGAAATATCTTTACTCTATTTGGCAAAATATCGTGGGACGAATACTTTTACTTCCAAGTCATAAAACAAATTTCCTTTATCGCAACAGATCATAGAAGAGAGGCAAAAAAGATTTGTATATTGAGCTATTGATAGTAACCTGCACTATTCGTCTTATGAAACATGTCCCCAATCATTGGATGTAAGTCAACTTCATCGTTATTTCTGTTGTTGTTATTGTTGTTGCTGTTTATGTCCATGCGCAAGGGTGATCCATCGCCGGTGACCAAAGCTTCGTTTTTAGTCGGCGTGTCACTAAAAGCTTGTGTCCGAGAGCCTCCATTGCTTTCATTGTCATGTCCGTCGCTTCGAGGTTTATATGGATGGTGCCGTTTTTGAGACTCCTGTTTGGTCATTTTCATACTATACATTTTTTGTATTGCCTGCCATGAGTCTTCGATAGGTTCTGAGCCGGTAGGGCTAACGGATTTCGCTTTGCCATCTGCAATGAAACAATGAGTATTTCGGTTACATTTGAAAATACATGCCATAGTTTGTCGGAAGTGAAGTTATACTTATGAACAGGTGCTTTGGATTTGATTGGACTGCTAAATGCCGCCCTTTCTCACTTGTATATGTGCGTGTGAAAATATCATTTATGCGACGTATCGTTACGATCACTTCATTGCAAAACACTTGAAATCGCTGCAGAAATAAAGCAATACTCTCAACAATATGAACAAACATGCGAAAGTGCGTTTATTCTAAGAAACTGGAAAAGCTCTCAAGTATTTCGAGTGCAGCGTCGGCAAGAAACTACACCCTACAAATCCGGGTGACGGTTGGAACGAAATCATTTACAAGGACCGCACGTCATTTCGCAACTCGCGCGGTAAATATTGTACAAATTCAAGCCATGCCGTGTGTACTTACTGGACGTATAATGGACTCTCAAGTTCTAGGTATGGAGTACCATCTATCACATAGGTGTGTGAAAGTTGTCTCGGGGCTACCAGCAATCTATAATATATACAACTACGTTTACACACAACGCTTAATTGAAATGTTTTAAACCGATATGAAATAAATAACTAAAGGCTGAGCGATTTAAAGTCTCTCTTATTCGGACTAGAAAATTCTTTTCTATCATTATTTCGTTTAGATAACGTCATTGGGGAATTCCACGAAATAATTCTTGATTCTTTGGCATATACCTGTATTAGGCTACGCAATTTCGATATACAAATCTTAACCAAAATCCCAGTCACGGCAGCGCGAATTCCGTAATCGGCGACCTGACTAGCAGCGTCGTATTTGTAGGACTTTCACTTCAAGAAGATATGTTTTGATAGTATAGTTAGATCGAGCTTGCTCGCCGTATGGTTTCCTATTCTTTCATGGGATATAACGTAGCCCATTGAGTTGAGATGAGGTTGAACTGTTTTAGATCATACCCTTTTTTCTTAATACTAATGAGATGCAAAAAAATTACACCTAGTCTATATATCGACCTTTATCTTGTGATTGAAGGCATCGAAAAAACACCACATTCAAGTTTGGCAACGCCTTCGTAGTATTTATACAATTTCAAGATTGTCGTTCTCGAATACCTGCATAACAGCACGTCCACAAAAACGACTGATTTAGCGGATAGGCTATATTGTTTGCAACATGCCATCAAAGTGGATATTTGGCATGTTCACACTGAGAATATTGTCATCGGCATCGGCAACCAACGGTTAAGTATTAATAATACCATTTTTGCCTTCGTTTCTATATATATAAACCTGCGTAATTCCTAACCTACAGGCATGTTCATCCTTCAGGGAGATATAAAATGACGTATGAGTAGGAATTAAAATCAATTGCGAACCGACATTGTGAAAAAACAGTTATCGAATTTCTTTCTAACTACTGGACAATGGACATTACATCACATATCATAATATAATGCATTTAAAAGTAAAAGACGTACAAAACTGACTCTTGTCTAATTTTAATGGACCTTTTTCTTAGTTACAGCAACGTGGGAGATCTGCTTTATTGAATGGGACTGTTGTTCAATGGCATGATTTATCCACAATCACAAAGAATTGGATTTAGTATCTTTTATTTTCATTAGAATACCATTGCAGGATACGTTGGCGAAATAAATGACGCATTGGTAAACGACACCACCGTCTGATGACAAATCAACGTTTTTGTTAAATATGTGTATAAAACCACCGTGACATGCCTGGCGATGTAAAGAGTACTTCTAATGCCGTATAAGTCGGTTTGTTGAGTACGTGTCACTATGTGGCGTTTGATAAATGAAGCAAAATTATCCTAAAAGATATTAATTTTATAAGGTAAACCTTGAAAAATTGTCCGGTTTGGTGTAATCTGCCCAATCTTGGAAATCCTGCGTGACATTGTGTGCTTGTGTATTTTTTGCATGTTGATCAAAGGCACTGCCTCAAGATCGAAGATATATAATGCGGGCATGAAATATTTATGTCGTGTTTTTATGGATATTAAAATGCTATCAATTTGAGGCGAATTTTCGCCGAGATGAGAAAATATATACTGGAGCCTATATAAAATATCTAAATTGCAAATGGCGCCATACTTGCCAAACGAAAATTCCAACTTATTATTACGAAATGCGGGCATGTCCAAGCAGGGGGTGCTCAGATTATCTAGCGGTGAGATAAGAACCCTTTTAAACGTTACAGCTCCGAGAACAATAGACCAGTGCATTCATTATTCAACGAAAATTCAATTCAATAGATGAAGATGTGTGGATGAGAAATCGCAATCGCTAATAATAGAGGCAGCTATTCACAAAGAAAAACAACTACATAACTACTACACAGCACGACAGTCGCTCTTGGAAACGCGATCTTACCCGATAAACAAAATGCCATTCCGTGCGACAAGTAACGAATATTTGAATAGGGATGTATTATGCTGAGCTGCGTCGCATCTGCGGCTTTTGTTCGACGAAGAACATGGACAATGTATCTACGTTGCAGTGCCATGGAAACCATCCCTCGGCGGTTTAATAATATGATATTGTACATGTTGATGCGATGCTGTAATTTAATGGCAGCAACTTCCGTCAGTAAATTAGTTTTGAATAATTTTTTAAAACACTCACGACTGCGTTTAATTCCCAATAACAACTTTTCCATTGTTATAATTTTCACCATTTGATAGCAGCATTATATCGACATCGTACACAGAGGAAATGTGAAATTTCCCAAATGCTTATCAAAAATACATGTTGCTAATGACGTCACGCTCGGCAATAAGGAATTAATTTGACAAAGCGTACGATTTCACCTCTGGTCGCAACTCACAAATCATACTTGGTAAAGTCGACGAAAATCAGCTAAGGGAAGGGTTCAAAAATATGATAATTCACTTTCGTTCAAGGAACGCAACCAAAACTAAACGACGTGAATATCAATTACCTTTTTTTTTATAAAACACGGAAAAACTGCTCCGAGCAAAATAAAATAAAATAGGAATATCACATGACATCATTCAAAACTGCAACAAATAAAAAAATTAAAAAGCAAAATATTCAGTGTTTTTGATAATCTTCCCGAGAGAAGAGTTGGCCGCGGGTAAGATTACTGAGGTATTTTATCGACAGTCTATAAAATTTACGGCCGGAAACCGGAAACGATCGTAGATATATCCAAACATGCATTAACGATATGACTATAATATATTTATTGTGTATAAAATCATTTTTCGAGGCTCGGATAAGCAGCGTCACAAGTACCCACTCAAAAGCAAATAATTTCACAAAATAACGTTTTCTCAAATAACTACCTCGAGAGGCGGTGCGACTAAAATTATGGTTGAAATTACCTTTTTAAGAATCCAAATACCGAATTTTGTCGAAAAGCACCAACAGTTGTTTTTTTGAGTGAAACTGCGATGACGTATATGACTATGAGTATCTTAAAATTGCTGCCTCATATTTCACCCTATATATATAACTGGTTTCGTTATGCATGAAACAAGAACAATTTAGTAAAAATGTTGACGTTTATGTAAAATCATACAAACCGAAAAAGAAAGCGGTTATTTATAACTTGGTATATAGTTCTAGTTCCATCATGAAAATTGGAAAATGCATAACGCAAGATTAATCCACATCGTACATTGAATAACGTTATACTGAAAAATTTGATGTCTCGGTTGGTAATGTAGTATTTTTGATAAAAAATGAGAATTTCGCGACAAATATGTTTTAACGAATATGCAACCCAATTACGCCATCGACTATTCATCCGATAAGGCGGCACGGCACACAAAGGACGTAATGTGTTTATTGACAATGCCTGCGAAACAAGCGTAATTCAAGAAGGTACCTGTGGCGCCAGAGGTTTCGAAGGAAAGTTGCGTCTGGGCGCCATGTTCGTTTAACAAAGATTATTAAACAGCAGAGCCCAATGCCGTGGATTATTGTGCATCTGGTGATGAAATCTTGAAGACAAGAACAAAAGAGAACCAACAACATAAAATATAGTCCCATGAGAATTTCCATCGCAAGTATTACTGGATGACACTTGAGAGAAAATAAAGAAACTATCACGTCGACTACTTTTCTTGGGCATTTTTTACTTTTTACCATGATGAAATTTCTTAAATGCATGGCGTCCTAGAAATACCTAGTAGTAAGACCTGGGGATATATTACATACATTCTGGTTGATATTATGGCAAATTGAATTATCGAATTATAAAAAGCATGCGAACTCAGATGAACTGGTTCATAATAGGTATAAAAAAATTTTCATTTGATAAATAAATTTATAGAAAGAGGAGTTGAGCCAAATTTAAATTTTGAGATTTTTTTTGTCAGCTGAAACAGCATTTATCGAACTCGTTTGCTCTCGCAATGTCGTCCTTAGTCGTGGCAATTTTCTGGGGACTGGTTTGAGTTAAAAAAAATTTAGAACATGTATAAAAACTGATAACGAATGTGTTTCGCAAGTTTACAGGTCAAAGGCTGTTTGGTCACAGAATATAAATAATAAAAAAAAAGATGCATGAACATTAGCTTATACAATCGGTCTGTATTAAAGCCGTAACAAAAACTTCATTGATCACTTCTATCTGTTCCCTATATTTACCAAAGCAAAAGAGACAGATTACTGATGCCGGCACTCTCATTTTCCACAAATTAAACTAAATTGTCTGCAATACTGCTGGAGGGTGTGAACTATGACGTTTGAAACTTTTCAATAATAGCAGATATAATTTTCGACGATAATGTCGTAATGTGAGTTCGCGACCTCGCAGTTGAATGAGATTGACCAAACTTGGGATGTGTTAAAGTTTCCGGCATATCATGTAAGATTTTGTACAGTAGAAAAATAAATAAACACAAAGAAAATGCGAGTGAATTTATAAAATAATAGTTTAACTCGCGTAAACAGGACGTGACTGACTTGTCGCCCTTCTCGCTTTACTGTGAAGATCGGACGATTAAGGTACACTG